ACCCTAGAGTCTAGACAAATGACTAATATTTTTATAAATGTGTACAGAAATTTGGGCTGGAAATTGGTATTATAAATCTGTGTGGGATCAAGTCAAGATTCCTCTAGTCATTTATTTAAATTGTAAATCATATATAGATAAAAACTCTTTATAAATGCTTCTGTCATAATTATTAGTTTATTTACTCCATTATTGTTCCCAACTTTTGTCAGAATGGAGCCAAATTTTTAATTTTCTGGTTGTATAGGTTTTTGATTAATTTATATACGTAACGCGTATTTACACACACACACACATACTATATGCATATATGTTTGATTTAGTCATTTCTGTTCATGATCTATAATGTCGAACCAATCAATAATTTGCTCGAATCTGATGCAACTGAGAATTGACAATGAAACATGATTGGATAATGTTTTTGATGTTTATTTTAATTGATGTACAAGTACAAGGTAATATATTATTAACACGTCTTAGAAATATTAAATATATACACATAGTCAAAGATTCTTCAAGAAAAAAATGTAGAAATGCATTTTCGCATTTGTTCAATAATTATCACGTAGTTTTTACAACTTAAATATACACATATATATATCTGTCCAGTTGGATCAGGATAAACTAAATTCCGAAAATCACTTACGCTCTCTATTCTCTTTTGTTTCTGTGTCTTACGTTTCGAGCAGCTCAAATTTTAATATTTTGGGGTCAAAACATGAAATGATTATTATCAAGTCGAATTCGTCGACAAAGCACAAGTCAAAAGAGCTTGTTTGGATAACGAATCAACCAACATATTGGCCTTTCGTGGTACCAAAAAAATGGAAAGCTTTCAAAAATTGGAAACTACTGTACTATTCTCAAACAACAAATTATGGATGTTCGTATGTGATTCCTTCTTTCGAAATAGATTAGTTCAAACCCGAGAATCAGAGCACACGTGCACCTCAACATAACCTTTGTCTTTAGCCGTTTGAAGAGCTTTAATGACAGACCATGCCTCAGCAGCTAATGCGGATTGAACCTCTGGCAGCGAAGCCGAGAATTCTTCAGTCGATGAGTCTGGCTCAGTGCGGAACCACCACCCTAACCCACTGTGACCAGTGTCTTTCTCCCAGGCCGAACAGCTCAAATTTTGTTCCTATGTAACCATTTCTGTTTTGGTTATTATTTTGCGAAAGAAAATATCCGAAACACGCGAAAAAAAGTAGAACCAAAGGAAACCAGAAATCATATTGAACAATATTGCTACGTTTTACAAAACATGGATTTAATAAGTTTTAGAGAATGTTCACTACCTACTTTTTGTAAGAGTAATGTACATTCAAAGGTCTAATTAATTCCAACTTTTCAAGTGAAATTATTAAATCCTGAAATGTGTTTAAGGTTAGCTTATAATTGTTGATGACAATATATGTAGATGAGAAATATCTTTAGGAAAATTCAAATGTATAAAGATCAGAGAATCAAAACAAAACTGAAAAAACACGATTCGATTCGACAAGGAAGAAAACAGAATATAGATGTTTGTTGGAGACATATTTTTTAGCCAGTAATGTTCTGAGACTTGTTGAGGATGACTCCTTCGTATTTCACCTGGAACCACTTCATGGCATCATCTTTAGTCACTCTGTGCTGGATTCCAACACGAGCCTTGCACCTTCTGCGACGTGCCACACGGTAACCAGGACGCTCAAGAACCACGTAGAAGTCCATACCGTAAATTCCAGTGGATGGATCATACCTAATGTCAAATCAATCAAAAACCCCATTTAATGATTGATTACACAAAGCCACTTTAAGCTGTTCTAGATCGTGTAACAAAAATCGAGCCTTACTTGATACCCAAATCAATGTGCTCTTGAATACCAAAACCAAAGCAACCAGTGTCGCTAAAGTTCCTCCTCAAGAGTTCGTATTCCTTAACTTTCAGTCCACTCTCGAGGAGTTGCATCGCCTTCTCTCCCCTCACAGTTACGTAGCAAGCAATCTTCTCATTACGCCTGATACCAAAAGAACGAACAGTGTATCGAGCTGCAAAAAGAGATACACAGGCGTTGAGATACATCCGAACTCTCTTCATCCAAAACAAAGTTATCTACCAGAAGATGAGAATTATAAAGAAGTTCCAAGCAATCGAGGTAAAACAGAGACAACAATTGATAGCTACTGATTCTCATTTCTCACTATGATTATCTGAGGATCCAGGACAGTAACATCTAAATCCAAATTACACTAATCATACACCAGAAAATTAGAACTAGTAACCTAAAAACACACAATTTCCTACACTAATTTGTCATTCTAAACTTCCAAATTTTCTCAGAAATCAAACGATTCATTGATTCAGTATAGAAGAAAACTTACCCTTGGAGAAAACAGGAGTCTGGCCACTCAATTGTTCCAAAACCTACAGATTTATCAACAAACTAATTCGATTAAACTCGAACACTCACAGAGTGAAATGAAACCAAACCAATCGATGAACAAATAGAAATGAATTTCAAAATAAAACGAACCTTGGAAGCTCTGGTGAGACGATCCCCACTCTCACCGACGGAAATGTTGAGCACCAGTTTCTGCACTTTAATGTCCCTCATTGGGTTCGATAGCTTCTTCTCCGACGCCTGATTCAACCCAAAAAAACAAAAAATCAGCATCACATCTTTTTCACGAATCATCAAAAACGCAAAACCAAGGAAACAGAAAAATATAACTGCGACTGACCATTTGGGATTAGGGTTGCAATAAATCTCCGGCCGACGGGAAAAGCGCGAAACGAAAGAGAAAACGGAGAAGAAGCAGAAAACTATATAAACCCTAGATCTCTAATAAAGCGTCTAGGGTTCTAATAAAATTTAAGATGAAAATGACGATTTTACCCTCTAGTGAGACTCGACTTGGGCCGAACATAGATTTATTCAATAGAATACACTTTTGGGCCAGAACTGGATCATAAATTTAGAGATTTCTTTGTAATTTATAAGATTCGAAAATG